GTCCCCAATGAGATATGGGTGTCCCCAGTGGGATGTAGGGTGTCCTTATTGGGATGTGGGGTGTCCTTATGTGGATATAGGGTGTCCCAATGGGAGATATGGGATCCCATTGGGATGTGGGGTTTCCCAATGGGAGATGTGGGATCCCAATGGGATGTGGGGTGCCCCATTGGGATGTGGGGTCCCAATGGGATGCGGGTGCCCCATTGGGATGCGGGGGTCCCGATGGTGTGTGGGTGTCCCCAGTGGGATCTGGGTGCCCCCAGTGGGACGCGGGGTCCTGCAGGGGTCGGGAGCAGGAGGTCCTGGTGCCCATCCCGCCTCTCCCCACGGCAGGATACCAACCCTGCGACCCTCAGATCATCTGCAACCGCGTCAACCACGTGCAGACGTGCCTGCAGGAGCTGGGCGAGATGGCGGCCAAGAGACGCCAAGACCTGGAGGATTCGCGCCGCCTCTGGACCTTCTTCCAGGAAATGGAAGAGGCTGAAGCCTGGATCCGCGAGAAGGAAAGAATTTTGGCTTCCAAAACCTGCGGCCGCGACCTGAGCAGCGTCTTGGCTTTAACCGGAGAGCACAAATCCATGCTGGGAGAACTGGGCAACCGCCGGGCTTCGCTGCACCAAACGATGCAACGCGGCGAGGAGATCCTGGCTAAGAAGGGCTGCAACCCCGAAGGCATCCAGGAGAAGATCCGCGCCGTCCGCTCGCGCTGGAAGAAGCTGGAGGAGGCGGTGGGGCTGCACCAGCAGAAGCTCCAGGAGGCGTTGAGCTTCTTCCAGTTCAGCGCCGAGACGGACGACCTGGTGCTGTGGCTACAGGATGCCTACAGGATCGTTTCCAGCGACGATTTCGGCCACGATGATTATTCCACCCAGAGCCTCCTCCGCAAACACCGCGCCGTGATGGAGGAGGTGGAGAGGCACGGGGCGGCCGTGGCGGCCCTGAGGAGGCAGCTGGGGGCTTTGGCCCCCGAGCACCAACGTGGGGTGGAGGTGCAGATCCGGGTGGTGGAGGTGGAGCAGCTGTATGGGGAGGTGGCCGAGGTGGCCGTGCTGAGGCAGCAGTGGCTGCGCGACGCGTTGGCCGTCTATAGGATGTTCAGCGAGGTGCGAGCCTGCGAGGTGTGGGTGGACGAAAAGGAGCAGTGGTTGCAGAGGATGGAGGTGCCCGAGGAGTTGGATGAGGTCGAGGTGGTGCAGCACAGGTGTGGGGTGGGTGGGGTTGGGTGGGTGGCTCTTGGGGCTTTGGTGTCAACGT